GACCCTTTTTCTATTCAGCCTAAACCCGAAACCCTCCTTTGTTATCTCAAGTCAGGTATTGGGGTATTTATACCATTGAAACCCATTTGTGCTTTCCAAACAATTTTTGGAGTACCACTGCTTAAACCTAATCAATATAATAATGACTTTGACAGTAGCCAAGTAAATTACTCATTTTTAATCAATAAATTACATTTTTTTTTCCGTCTTAACAATACATTTAATTTGGAACAGAAAATTGTTTTTTCATTCGTATTTTTCAGCAGACCCAATAGGATCCCGAAATTACATATTTTTATACCTGAAGCATCAAATAACCAAAGTTTACGGAGGCCCACCAGAAAGAAATGTCAGTCAGGTAGAGGTAGGCTTTGTTGACAAACTTACAAACAAAAATAGTTTTTAATAATATGTAAGATATCTCCGACTAAAATATATTTTCAATGATGTGGGTTTGTTTACCTGAGATTGAGAATATTGTATTAGCCGTAAACTTTGGCACTAATGGCTTTTTGTCGCATTATTTCGGCCCTTTTATGTTTTATGCGCTGCAGACTACACATTCTCGCTTTATTTCTATCAACTCATTTGGTCAAAATTATTTCCATAATCGTCGATAGCTTAGTAACTAACGTTTCACTCTGTAAATAGGATGACGGTACCTACACAACACGCGAGTAAGCATTTAGATTTTCTTTCAATAAAGAATTTAATCCGATCGCCGCGATAGACGTGAATCAATTGAAAAATAGAAGTCCTAAATCCTAATGAGTGTTTATACAGATGATCAGCACTGGATTTTTCTTATTGATGCTTCTCCCTTACCTTGCTCTGACCTTAATTGCTGTTTCATCTGATTAAGAGCATTTTTTATTTTTAATTATTTAAAGGTATGAAAATTATAAATTCCTGCGCTCACGGATGAAATACGATAAATGGTACGCGAATCGCTAATCACAGGTGGTGCGACTGACTTAAGATAGGTTGCGCTACTGTCTTAACGTGTGTTTTAGTCGATGGTCGATAGTACGCGTGATGGTGGATAGAGGGCGTTGGCAGCGACTAACTTTCCCAGTGCTGACATTGTGCCTTCTCTCTCACACCCGCAGAGACGGGGGTATAGTGCTTCCTCTCTCGCACCCATGGGGAGGATCCTATGATGCAGAAGGAACCATCTTACTCTACTGGTAGCAAGTATGTGCGGCTGCCTCGGCGGCTACTGAGGTAGTGCGAACGGTCGATGCAGACCTGGGCGCTGGAAAGGGGGCGGGGCCTAATTCTAGGAAATTTTACCCCCACTCCAAAACGGTCCGAAAAGTGGCAGAATGGACCTTAGATTTTCTTATGGAGATTTACATGGGAAAATGGGTGATTTTGCGCTCGCTCTGTCCTAGCACCTTTACTGAGAACGTTTCTTGAATATACAAAAATAAACTTTTCACAAAATTTCCGTCTGTCCAAGTCCAGCATAACAACCTTAACAAGAATGCATAGAAAAAGGGCAGTTCTAATTTGCGGAACAGGAAAAAGGGATGCAATGCACAAATTGACATCAAAAGGACCCCTCACCCGCACCCAATTCACGATTTTCTTTAAATTTTAATATGTTGTAGGTAAGGATAAGTACTTCACAAAAAAGTAAGTTAGAATATGGTGGCTCCCCCCGTTTGGCCATAGTGGCATATCAAAGTTACGGCCATCAAAATACAATTTTGCATTGTTTTTGCATTTCGATGCTGAAAATTAGCCTATATTTGATGGATAGTAACAGCGGCGGGTACACAAAATAATTTTTAGTATGTAAGTCCAGTGGCGTACATTAGAATATTGGAAAATTATAAAAAATCTTCTTTGTGCGGTGGTAATTGAAAAGTAAATCAATTATCAGGCTAAAAATAAGTTCTTATTGCTGATGACCGATGCTGATATTTGAAATTACAATACATAAATCATCAATTTTTTAATCCAGTGGCGTAGATAACAATATTAAAAGATTGTGAACAATATGCTTTGTGCAGTGGTGATTGGAAAAAATAATTAGGTTATAACTTACAAGGCTGAAAATTAGTTCATATTTGATAAATAATGACAGAGGCGGATATTTAAACTTACAACACAATAACTTTCATCCAGTGTCGTAGATAACAGTAGTAAAAAATTGTGAAAAATATGCTTTGTGCGGTGGTAATTGGAGAAAGTAATTAAGTTATTATCACTTATCAGACAGATATTTATAAGTATCCGCCAGGTTATAAAGTTTAAGTTTATAAACTTACAATACAATAATTTTCATCCACTGTCGTAGATAAAAGTGGTAAAAAATTGTGACAAATCTTCTCGGTAGGTAATTGAAAAAAGAAATTAGGTGATCAAGCTAAAAAATAAGTTCTATCTGATAGATAATAAGAGATGTGGATATTTGAACCTACAATACATTAATTTTCATCCAGTACCTTATCCTAAGCTATACTGTTTACTGTCCAGCTGCAGGACGACGATCTTTACTACGTTCCATCAATCTCGATGAAGGATAATGCACTAAGTACATTTCCGGGTTGCCTTCCGTGTCCCAAATACCACAAAATGCAGGATACATGCACACTAACAGCCAGAGTTCTAGCTCCTGCTTTACATGTGCATGATGTAATAGGATCTGGTAGGGGACCCTCAATTTTTACTTCTATGTCAACGTCATTGTAAGTAATGTATCTAGTATGTCTTGTTGCTTGAGTGAATCGTGAGAAAAGTCGAGTCCGTATAAGTCCAGGTTCATTTTGTTGTATTTCAAGAACGAACTGGTTGGCATTTTGTCTCAGCATTCGATCCTGCATGTAAGCTGGAGCTAACGATACCTGGAATCTGTTTATCAATGCACACGCGTGATGAACAGATTCCACGATCCCATTAATATTCATGGAGCTGACGTTGCAAGAGCAGAGAGAATGCTTCAACTTGCTAGAGAGTCGATTTTTCTTCAACAAAGAGTGAAGGAAGAAAATATTTAATCGCAGATTTGGACAAGGTCCTTGGACTCCAATAGAAGATGCTGAATTACATTTCCACATCTGACGATTCCATATCTTCTAGATATCCAGCTTACATGCAGGATCGAATGCTAAGACAAAATGCTAACCAGTTTCTTCTTGAAATACAACAAAATGAAACTGAAATTATACGGACTCGACTTTCCACACGATCAAGCAACAATGGCTCTGTGTTATTTACGCGACAGCCGTTTGCGCGAGGTAGAAAAGCGCGATACGAAAAGCGCGAGAGACAAAAGCGCGACGGAACACAAAGGCGACAGGACGAAAGGGCAATAGACAAAAACGCGACTAGACCAAAGCGCGATTAACAAAGACGCGACTGGACAAAAGCGCGAGGAACAAAAGCACGAGAAACAAATACGCGACGGAACAAAAACGCGACTGGAATAAAGCGCGATCGACATAGACACGACTAGACGAAAGCGCAAAGAACAAAAGCGCGAGAGACAAAAGTGCGACGGAACAAAAACGCGACTGGAATATAGCGCGATGAGCAAAAACGCGACTGGATAAAAGCTCGTGTAACGAAAGCGCGACGGATCAAAAATGCAAATGAATAATAACCCAGTTGGTTTTCAATTTTAATCAGACATTTCCAAACTTACCCATAATAACCCGGTCAAGCCGTTAAGGGCGGTAAAGGCACTTTCCGCATGTGTTAGGTACAAAATTTTACCTATGAGCATCTACATCTCCAAAAAAAGGCATTGATAATAGCTATTTATATAACAAGTACATAAAGTAAGGCTTTATTGTACGAATAATTTTATGGCCGAGCGAGCTTGAGAGCGAGGCTATTAAATAATGAGTCAATAAAGCCTGTTTATGTAAGCGTTATATACATGATTTTATGTACGATTCTGACTGGTTTTTGTTAAAAATTAAAAAAATTGAATGAAAAAAGTAAAATTCGCGTAGGTATACCTGTTTCACCTTGGCAAGTTGTCAGGACCTGTTTCACTTTGGCAGGTTGTCATGACCTGTTTCACCTTATCAGGTAGTCCAGGTAGGCAATAAAGTAGCACTTTATTTTACTAGTGAAATAAAGTAGCACTTTATTTTACTAGTACAATAAAGTGCTTTATTGACGCAAAACTGTTCTATAAATAGCACTTTATTGGTCAATCGGACATAAAATTAATTAATGAATCAGATTGATTAATGAAATAAGATTAGATTAAAAAATGATCAAAAATCCATTTTCTGAAAAAGAAAGGAATTTTGATTATGAATATTGAATTCTACTTTACCGCACACTATGCGGTGAAGTGCACTTTACCGCACACTTTGTAGTCCACTTTACCGCATACTATGCTGTAAAGTTAACTTTACCGCACACTATGCGATAATAGTTATTTATTATACAAGACGGTAAAAAGATGCTTTACCTGTGAGTGGAAAATGTTGATTCATTCATTTACATAAAGCATTTTTTTTTTGATGATCTGAAATTATCTGGCTTTTGAATAAAAGATAGATATTGATAAATAATTCACCCGTAAAAAATGCCAGATGCTTTTCAATGGCTGAAAAAGTGGGGATGGGTGTCAACTTACAAGAGAAAAGTATAGCACTTTCCACATTTTCTTTCTGTCTGGCAATCGAGAGAATGAAAGGTTTTGTTGTGAAAATAACGCTGAAAAATCGCCAGACGATAATGATAGTTCGAAATCGAGCAAATCCGCAAAAAGTTCTGTGGACATTTCGAACGGGGAGCAGGCATTAGAACCACTTATATTCTCATCAGCTAACTAGCCACATTCACGCCTCAAAATACCAGACAAAAAAAAATGACTCCACTAAACAGTTCCTATCTCAGTCTATAATAACTATTACCAAATTTCAAAAAATTTTGAATTATTTTTCCAGGAATCTGTTTAAAAAATATTAATTGACGAGTCTATTATGCCTTTTTGTTTAATATTTTTTGTAACCTATATTGGTTTTTTGTAGGACTATGAAATGAGAGACCTATCAGTTACGGTTTTCGCAAAACTGATGTGTTGCGGGCTCCCTATCAGTTCTATGTCCACATCTAAATTAATTTTGAAATGGTTCAGATTATCGAGCAAATCATCCGCAGGTAAGTAAGAGAAGTTGCAAATAGTTAAATTGAAAAATATACTGAGTGCATGCATGACGTCTTATAAAAACTGTTCATGACTTAAATAGATATTTAATAGATAGAATTCGTGGGTATAGGGAATTTCACTAAATTAAATTAGTAGGTATATAATTCTCTCGCAGCAGAATTAGTAACCATTATTATGTAGTTTGTAACCCCTTTTTTTAATGAATTAAAAAGAGGCCCATAATATGTTCAGTTTGCTCAGCGAATAATTATTGAGAATAGGTCAATAGTATAATAAGTATGTACAGAATGACAAGGGCGTCACTGAATTTGTAAATAAATAAATAATTAAATTACATAAAATATTGAAGTGTGAAAATTCAGAAACGCACCTAAAAAAAAAATCAGCAAACGGTAATTGATAATTCTGAAAAGGAAATAAATCAGGCATGTAACTCAACCAAATCTTGACATAGCTAAACCAATAAACAATTAAGTAGGTAAGTTTCAAATTAAATTAGTGTAAATTTCCACAGTCAGTTTAAAAATCAAGTATCAAATTTTAAAAGATGAAATCAATTGTTGGTGGAACGCTTTAAATAAATTTAATAAATGGAGAATGGAGGTTAACCCTCTCAATCAGATTCATGAAAGTCCAAAAAAATGATATTACCGGGTGTTTTTTATCTTTTTTATCTTTGATATCATTTTGATCACCTGTAACTTTTTTGTTTTTAAAGATATCAAGGTAAACAAAAAAAAAGTCGCGTGCAGCACAGTACACGTGATAGAAGTCGATACTTCTTCTCTTTCTCTCTCTCTCCCTCATATTCATCATATGCTTCATCTTACTTGCGAGACGAAAATTTTATAAATCGTGTCAAGACGCGACCTTAAAAAATCACTCTCATGCGGCCAAAGAAGTATTCACTTCAAAAACAAAATGTAGGATTAATAGCCAAGTTTTTTTTTCAAGTTACACATGAAACAAAACACTATCAATTTTTTGACATATAAGTCTATATTATATTTTTTCAAATGGAACACCCTGCATATTATATGGGTGTTCGATAGAACATATTATTCTGATTACAATGATATAACACACTTCATATTTTGTTCCACTCGTTTTTGACAAATCGGCAAAAATATATGAAATTTTTAGATGCTCTCAATAATTCTCGTCCCAAATATCACCCCGCCTAATAAGTTTCACTTCGAAAGTTTCATATTTTTGCCGATTTGTCAAAAACGAGTGGACCAAAATATAAAGTGTGCTATATCATTGTAATCATAATAAGATATTCTATCGAACACACATATAATATACAGGGTGTTCCATTTGAAAAAAATATAATGTAGGCTTATATGTCAAAAAGTTGATAGTGTATGAAATCAAAAGTTGGGTTAAATGGTCAGGAAATATAATAGAAATCCTCAAATATATGAGTATAGGACCCAAGTTAAAAATTGATCAATTTTCGAGGATGTAGGTACTTACTCAAAGATTTTAAAGTTAGAGGATCTTGTCCAACCTCGACTTCAGTTCAGATTATTGATTATGAATAATAAAATTTACATTCCTAAAATATGGCAATATTAAAAGTTAAGCAATGATAAATCTATAATAAATTCGGTAAATCGAAAAGCCATAGAAGCAATTATTTCAACATCACCTCGGTGTCAAGAAAGCGAGAATAAAATTTTAAGTATTCAAATGTTATATCAGTAAAGGCTCAGTCAATTATGTTAATTGAACATGAAATATATAATAAAAAGGAAAAAAATTAATGGTTATTAATGAAACTTTAAACAAGCCTCTATTCCAACAAAAGGTAGATTACGATAGCCATCCAGCTATCCATTTTGACTTGACGAGGGAAGTTGCAAATGGAAGTTGCAGATTCTAGCCTTGAATCAAGGTAGATAGAGGCTAGAAGTTATCAGTTGTCATCGAATGTGGAGGTACAGGAGTCAATACGTGAGAGACTTGATTCCTCTAGAGGAATCCCTTCAAAAGCTCTATGCCACGCTCCACGAAAATAGTGTTGTTTAAAAATGTAGGCTTCTTCGGAATGGATTTGTTGAGAGAAACGGCTCCTCGGAAAAACGGCTCCTCGGGAAAACAGCTTCTCGGGAAATCCTAAGCAATAGAGGCATTCCATGAACAACCATTACTTTAAAAAAAATAAAAAGAACTTACCACGAGGCCCACGACGGGGTTCGAAATTCAAACTTAAATAAAACGGTAATCACAAGACTTTTGATTTAAATGTTTTCGGTATTAAATGGATTATTGCCTTACGCAACTTTATTTCGTTAAAACAGTGCCTGATGGCCGATAAGATTTTATTTTTCACGAGAACGGTAATCACAGTTGAGGAAGATGGCTGCCCTCCCGGCCAGAGTCGACCTTTCAGGGCAACGTCAAGATTAAAAAGGGACGAATAAACGGACAACCTCTAAAGGCAGAGCTTCCTTTAAAAAAATAGCCAACTGAAAGTGGTGGTACTAAACTGGTACTTCAAACCTAAACGAAAATCGTGCCCTCTAGTTTAATAATTATTGCTATTAATATTTTCGAAAGAATTTTTTTTTTTTAATGCTAGTCACCAAACTGTCAACATTAAAGGTATATAATGATTTAACTTTTTATTATAATTATATTTGAAAGAAAAAAGAACAATCACTAACAGTAGCATTTCACATGCTACAAGTTTTCAATGCAACAATAGTGGTATATGTAGGCTGTGCATTTGTACTGCTTTTCTTGCTTCAAGCAGATCTCAGCAGCTGATCGGCGTTCACTAATTGTCCCATAACTCCTAACAGCATAAAGCTCGAAATGAATGGCGTGTTTCCCCCTTGCCCTTCAGACGTCGTAGTGCTAGACTCGTAAGGCGAACTATAGCAAGTACAAATGAACAGCCTAATACATACATTATACATACGCCGTGTAATGAATGCCGCCTGACTTGCACCTACTTGTAAATAGTTTTAGTTATAACTTTTTTCGTCCGTTTATTGAAAAATAACAGGCTATTTTATATTTGTCTCATATTGCATTGTCTTTGTGGTCCTTTTTTTAATAACTTCTTATACTTACAGCGAAAGCCCTTCAACACAAAATTGGAATGATCCTCGGAGCATATGTAAACTCAGGAAATGATGCAAAGAAAAATGTAATTGAAGCAATAGTACCTGTCCTTACAGTCATAGCTAAGGCTCCCCCGTGGAGTTCTTTGTCCTTGATAGATATTGATCTCGCAGTCCAGTTTATGGCAATTATTTCCGATTCTGGCAATTCTAAAGTGTGTATCATAATTTTACACAAAACCCATCGTTTTCACTTTAATAATTTTTAGGTTTTTTTGCACTCGCAACTAGCTCGAATATTATTAGACGAAATAGATTTGGGGCCAGCCAAAAATGCAACAATTTATTTCGCTAAAATGTTGAACTTGTTAAATATTACTCTGAATCAATCGTCAGAAATACAAGATATTATAGATAAGGTTGAGAAGATTTTCGAGGAGGTAAGTTTTTATGTTTTTTTTTTTTATTGAAAATTTTAAACCTGTATTATAAGCCAATGAAAGGGTAGCATTTCAACACGTTTCTGTGACAACTAAAAACCTGGAACTTTTTGAAGGTAGCCAGTAGCCAGTAGCCATAGCCCATAGCTATCATGGAAGTATTGTTTTTGAGGGAAATTTTGTATTTCAAATTAAGTATTATTTTTTATGTTTAAGTTAAATAGAAACATCATATACAGGGTGTCCCAAAAATATACCGACAAACTTTAAGGGGTAGTAGGGGACATCAAAACAAGCATTTTTGTTTATATAAACATATGTCCGCAAATGAGCCATTTGGGCTGTAGAGCAAAAAAACTGTTTGGTATCTAGTTTTATTCTTCGCAATAATTAAATCACTGTTTACTTATTAATTTCGCTTTAATAGCAAATAAATTATGGTTTACAATAATTGTTCAACTCGCGAACTCTTTGGAATATTCCGGGAATAGCTTCTACATGGGAACATCTCGCCAGTATCATTGCTATCAGATCTTCCTCATTACGAACAGGTGTTTCGTAGACTAAACTTTTCAGTCAATGACCCGACGGTGTAAGCTTTGCATTGGAGTAAATGGTCAACATTTTGAACAATTATTGTAAATCATAATTTATTTCGTAATAAAGCAAAATTAATAAGTAAACAGTGATTGAATTATTGCGAGGAATAAAAGTATCAAACAGTTTTTTTGCTCTACAGCCCAAATGACTCATTTGCGGACATATGTTTATATAAACAAAAATGCTTGTTTTGATGTCCCCTACTACCCCTTAAAGTTTGTCGGTATCTTTTTGGGACACCCTGTAAATTTGGTGCTGTACAAACTACCTACCTATCGATTTAAAACAAATTTGGAAAATTTAATTTCACTTGCAAGTTCTGTATTGCACGTGATTTTTGCGTGGAAGATGGAAGAGGACTATTGGAACTATATGTATGCCCGCGTGAGGGTTTTTTTCTGAGAGACGATGGATTGCTAGAAAGTGATATAGTGGAACGAGGTTAATTTATGATATTACTAGCTGTTCCACGCGGTTTCACCCGCCATTAAATTTAAAAGAAATCGGACTACCTATAAATAATTTTTTAAAGTTCACCCCAGAGATAAATACTATATAAACTGTCGAGAATGGAATCTCAGTGTAAATTTTGTTGTCAACAAAATTGAGCCAAGCCAGCGCCATCTACCACATCGGAAAATCACTATTTACTGGTTTTGCATCGATGCTACAGACACCTACTTTACATAGGCCTTTTTATGATAGATGGCACCCTGTTCGCATTACTGTCGGTCTGTTCAAATTCGTTTATTCTAGACTTTGTGGCATTAATGTTTGCTTAAATTAATTGATAATTTGTTAATTAGATCAAAAGACAGTTTCTTTATCGAAGGTTAAGGGATCCTTAACTTTCCCTGCGTTTTTATTCTCATCAAATTTTACCGATGGATCCACCATTCTATGGCCGTCATTATCATTTTTCATTCACTAAACAAAGATAGCTATAAAAACGCGTACATATTTATTCAAAGTTCTGATTGATGTTTAATTGATCCTGTCATTTATCTAATCAACAAAGATAAAAATAGATCTTCCAATCTATAAAGTTTGAAGTTCTTCTTGAAACACACAAAACAACTTTGAAATCACTTAAGAACACTTGACAACACAAAGAAAGATGAAATGCAAGACCGGCGAACAAAAAACATTATGAATTATTAGTTATGATCAAATGAATATTTTGGCATATTGTCATATGTTGACATGTCAATCTCATGTCAATGTTATCGACATCGGACGTGTTCTTGATGTGCTGGTATTTTCCAATTTTGACAATTCTGTGGTTGTTAGCGACATCTAGAAAAACGGAAAAGAGTTATTATGTGGTTTATAACTGGCAATGAGAGATCGCAGGGCCTGGTTCACCCCTATTTGAAATTCACAGATTTGTTGATAGATGTCGCCTACTTCAAGGTTTTTATTCAATTATTGGGATTTCAAATTAAGATCGTAGCGCTGCGGTGTCGAATAGCTCAACTAGTTTCTAGTACATTGATTTATAACTAGAGGTGGGCCAACCTGCGATTTTAATGGAGCTGTGATAAGACGTGACTGCTCCAGTCGTGTCACTGTGACAAATAGCAGTGATTTTTTGGAGCAGTTTTACCTTAGTTGGCGGCCGTACTGCTAATATTATGTTAATGCTACATCGCAAAATGGCATAGTCGCAGTCCGCATTCACGGCTGAGAGAGATGCTCCACTTTCCAGCCTGCCCTCTGCAGTAGCAGTTTCCATTTGGCGTGACCATAATGCGATTTATAATATTATTATTTCATTTACATCACTTAGCTCGAGTTTTGTCCGCGCTGCATCGGTTGGACCTCGAACGGGCAGTGACAAAATGTCACTGCTACTTGACTGGGACTGGAGCAGGTCGTGACTGTGACAGACGAGTAGCAGTGACAAAGTCACAGTTCGTGAAATCGCAACCCACCTCTATTTATAACCTCACTTTTGTTTTGAACCTAATTTACATATGATTTACATTAGCTTGAATGTTTGTCTTATGTTTACGGCTCTTAATGCAGGCCAAAATTCAATATAATCTATTTCGTTTATCTGATCCGAAATGGTCATATCCATACAACAGCCTAAACGGATCTTTTTCTTATATTTTTTTAAAACTTTCCACAATAGGACATTGCCAAAAGGGTCACGTCAGGTATGTCCCTTATAATGTCTGTATCTGAATAACTTGTATGTGCAATAAATAAATAAATATTTCATAAATAACTCTTTATTTTTATTTATAAATAGATAAAAATTGAATTAACAAAGTCAAATAACTTGACCACAAACCTGCCTATAATTACTGTTAATTATAATTGAATAAAAACTTGACACTTTCTGCTGTTTGCTCATCCATTTGTATGTCTGTCTCAGAAGAGTTTAATAATTGATTAAAAGTATCACTACATTCATTACTTGTATCGCTCTCACTAGAATCTTGATTTCTTTTTCTTTTGGCAAGTCTTTCAGCACACATGGAATCTGTTTTTCTGACTGGGTTGATGGATCACTGTAGAAGAGGGCAAATTCTGGGATGGTACAGCTGTTTTTTTTTCAATATCCAACCTCTACCTGTACTCTCACCTGTAAATAATAAAAACAGTCAATATTTTCAAACAAAATATTTCAAAAATAGATAATAGGTACAGTGGGAATCATTGCAATTGGCACACACTCTTTAAAATCCCTCGTATTGAGTCAAAATGCTAACCAATAAATCTATTCATAGCTATTTGCACCGGTGTTAACCTTAAAAACAAAGTAAGTTAGGTAGAGGCTAAGCTTAAGGTGAACCTTTAGGTTGAGTTGCTTTGCACCGACCAAATCTTAGCTAAGAATTGAAAGCTATTGGCAACAGCGCAAAAATGCGTATTTCAAGGCAGAAATGAAAGAGGAGGTACCTATTTCAAGCAAGGAATTTATCCGTTAACCTATCTTTGCGATTAAAATATAAATATTTTCGTTAATTTCGTCTTTTCTTTTATAAGTTATATCACGTGGATATTATTTTGAATATATTTTTGGCATTCTTGTGCAAAATTCTGTAGAAATTAACCAACTCAAAAATATTTTTTAAAAGGAATTTATATCGAGAGTATAGGTAGTTTTTTTTATAACAAATTCAATTTTCTTCCAAAAAGTGGTCCAAGTTGCCAAGTTTGCTGTAAAAGTAATAAACCATAAACGCAAAAAAATAAAAGCATTAACAAATAACTAAATAACAGCAACAACCATAAAAAAAAAACTTCGGAAAACTGGCAAGGGAAAGGAGCAAGGAGCTCCTTGTGTTCAATTTGGCAGTCGGGAAATTAAAATACCCTACATTGTTTTTGCTATCAAAATAAACATATATATATTTTTTTTTTGCTTTAAACCAAAACATGCAGTCTTCGGAGAAAAGGCTCTTGGAACCTTGGATATGCAAATACAAAATCATCGATAGACGATAATCAAAGTCAACCAGAATTCTGTCAAAAAAAAAAGAAAACAAAACCCAAAAATGAGGTAAGAATCCAACTAAGCGGAGAAAATCTGGGGCTTAACTTAACTAGACTTGAGGTGGACCCTAAACAACGGTGCAAAGCAAAATCGTAGTTTAAGTTCCACTTAAGACTAGGCTGACCTTAAGTTGTAGCGGTGCAAATAGCAGTTAGTGCAGCATTTTGCTATTACTGGTGTGTCAGATTTGACACATTACGAGGGATATTTATATAGTGTGTGCCAATTGCAATGATTCCCACTGTACTTAATCAATGCCTGAGAGCAGGCCTAAAAGGAAGCTAGGGTAGGGCACAAAAATATCCATTATGCTTGTTAACCTTACGAAGTTTCAAAATCCAGGCTTTTCTTCTCGACACTACTCTTTTCCCATCTTCGTTTCCAAATAAACCTGTGGGCCTGTTTCAGGGGGAAATATGTGGAAACTCAACCCTTTGTCAGCATCTTTTTTAGCCCAAGATTTGCACTGAGGAACACAACAGTAGTGATTGGAGGTCATAATTGAATATATTTGATATAATTTAAACTTAATAATTCATCAACACGCTTTAACAACTCAAAAACACCTCAAAAATATTTATACAAATACAATGATAAACAATAGAAGAACATATGACAATGTACTACAAACTAGTTCTGTAATTTGCCGCCAGATAGAGTACCGCTTATCTTGAAATCCCATTTCGTGTTTTTTTTTATGTTTCAATAGTTATTATGTTAGTCGGGATAGAGACAAATCCAACAAAGCAAAAATCATAGTAATCGATCCAGCCGTTTTCGAGTTATAAATGATGTAACCGATACAACTTATAAAGGTTTAGGAGGCAATGGGTGTGGGTTCTTTTCAATTGTTGTTATATTTGGGCGTCATGCCTAAACGGCGGACGAAAGC